TGTTCATCGATTTGCTCGAGGGGGCACCAGTAACGTTTCCACTGTGAGACTTGTTGTTACTGTTTTTGGCATATCGAATACACCACGGGGAGCTTGCCAGGCTCTGCCATGTGGGCGGGGTGCTCTCTGAGAGGGAAAAAGGAATCGAACCTGGGTCGGCCATGTGCAAGGCAAACGCCCTACCCACTGTGCTGTGGGAGATAGAAAATAGAAAATTCAAAGTGGAAAACTCCTCTGCAGAAGCAGTCAACTAATGGCAAGGGGGCTTAGGGAAGGAACAGGTTCCCGTCAACTTGCAGATATGTGACCCCGGATTATGGTTAGGTTCCTGTTGGTGCAGGGCTATCACAGAGCGGTCATGATTATGGTCTCCGCCTAATAGAAGATGGATAAAAATTCTTGGCTGACCTAACACGGAGCTCAGCCTTTTTGGTGCCCACTGAGCTGAATTTGCCAAATAATAGAAATAAATAAATGATCAGTCTCTCTCCATCCCTCCCAGTTCCGTCTGGATTCTTCTAGAAGATTCACTTCATCACAACCCACCGGGTCCAAAGGATTTATTATAAAAGTTGGATGTAGTGCACAGACTTTGAGAACATCAAAAATATCATGAGGTTATTTTCTGCCTGGGAGCTGGAGCAATAGCATAGCGGGTAGGGCGTTTGCCTTGCACGCAGCCAACATGGCGGACCCGAGTTCGATTCCTCCACCCCTCTCAGAGAGCCCGGCAAGCTACTGAGAGTATCTCGCCTGCACAGCAAAGCCTGGCAAGCTCCCCGTGAGGTATTCAATATGCCAAACACAGTAACAAGTCTCATAATGTTACTGGGCCCGCTTGAGCAAATCAATGAACAACAGGAGGACCGTGATTTTCTGCCTATTCTCTTTCAGTATCATTGCAGGTGGCTAGGAAAAGTGAGGGATGAGGGAAGGAGTCTTGTAAAAAAAAAAAAGTGCTTCCACCCCCTCGGCCACTAGGAAAATGTATGGCACAGGCCGGAACTGCTCCAAGGACCTACACCGCACTGACACATCCCACCAGCAACAACTCTCATGTTCCAGGGCACCCCCAACTGGCATTCATCAGGGGGCCTGCTTGGCAACATTGTTTGGTTCGCAGACACTTTTATTTTGTTTATTAGGTAAATGCTTTAGCTCATTTTCCCTCTCCTGTTTTTTATTCTTGGTTTTTGGTTTATTTTTATTTTTATTTTATTTTTATTTTGGGGCCACACCGGGCAGTGCTTGGGGGTTACTCTTTCTGGCTCTGTTTTCAGAAATTACTTCTGTCTGTGCTCAGGGGCGATTCCTCCACCTCTCTCAAAGAGCCTGACAAGCTACCGAGAGTATCTCGCCCGCATGGCAAAGCCTGGCAAGCTCCCCGGGACGTATTCAACATGCCAAACACAGAAACAACAAGTCTCCAGTGGAGATGGTACTGGGCCCGCTTGAGCAAATCGATGAACAACGGGAGGACAGTGCTACAGTGCTACAATGTGCTCAGGGGACGATATGGGATGCCAGGAATCAAACCTAGGTCGGCTGTGTGCAAGGTTAACACCTTCTCCTCTGCACTGTCACTCAGGTCCCTCCCTCTCCTAGTTTTGAGGTCCATGCATCTTTCTCTGAGCATGTCTTGTTCTTTTTCTATTTTTGTGGCAACTTTCCACAGTGGTGACTTATTGCAATACTCCAATTCCAGGTTTTGGTGATATACAACCAAACTGCTTCTATAAAACTGCGGTGATTTATCAGTGGCATTTTCCTGGGAGATTATGCGGAATATGTCTTTATATACCTGGTTGCTTTGTTTGCCCTGCACAGACTTTTCAATACCTATTACTGCATCATGCCACTAAATGCAGGAATTCTTTCATTTTTCTCGCACACAAAATTTTTACCTTTTATTTTCTTTAAGTGACGCTTGTACTTGACAGTGAAATAAAGGTGTTGGGCAGGATAGATAGCTCAAGTAGCAGAGCACGTGCCAGGCCTATGTGAGATTGTGAGTTTGACCCCCTGCACTGCACAACCAACTCAAGTTGGTTCACCACTGGTGACCACTCAGGAGTGGTCCTGACACCCCCCCCCCAGCACAGTAGGATCAAATTCCTTATTTTTGTTTGCTTGTGAGCTATGACCTGTGATGCTCAGGTTATGCTCCTGGCGCTGCACTCCAGAATCACTCCTGGTTGTGCTCGGGCAACCATAATCAGGTGCTGCGGACCAAAGGCTGAGGTGGACACATACAAGGCAAGTGCCCTGCCCACTCTACTATCTCTCTAGTCCAAGGCTCCTTTTTTTAAAATGAGCAGTATGCAACATTTATTACTTATAACTTCTCATATAATAATTTCTCATATAACACTATTTCTGCAGAAATTCACTCCCAATTTATTTAAGTATTTATTTATTTAATAATGTAGGAACACTGCTATTTATTCACCCATTCATTGATTAAGCTAATTGAATTGGGCATAAACTCTACATTACTTTTTTTTAAATTTTTAATTTTATAAGTTAGTTCACAATGTTTGATTACATTCAATATTCAAAAACCAATTCCACCACCATTACACCTTCCCTCCACCAAGTTCAGGATGTTTCCATCCCAAACCCCAATTCCTGTCACAAAACACAGCCGAAGTAATATATTTCATATTATCTGTTATGAAGAACTGCTGAATATGCTTTTAAAAAAGTGTTCATATGGGAAACAGTGTGAAGATTGTTCTATTTTGGCAGGATCTATCAAGACATTCTATAAGATATAACTAATATCAGATATTACCTGGGTTAAAGTTTGGGTGATGTGAGCTTTGGTATACATATCTGAAAATATGTATATATGCATATATATATATATATATTTCCCCTCTATGATTTATTGCCTACTATCTGAACACCATCAAATGTGGTGTGTTAATTATGGAGAATGGATAGGGAATGTTATATGATGTGTCTCACGGCCACTTTTGCAGCCATGCAATCCAGGAATATGTTTACTCATATGTGAGGTTCAGCCCGAGTGTGTGAGGAGTGGCCTTGAGCATAGTGGCAGCTGGGTTGTGGAGGTTTTTGACTGCCGAAGCTGGTCCCTTGGGGCAGGAAGTGCTCTCACCCGCTCCCCTCTGGGGCACCCTGTATGAAACAGCCTGTCGTGGAGTCCAGTGGCATGGTTATGGAGGCCTCATGTTATGCTCCCTTTTGGGAGAAGCAGCCATGTGATCTGGATGGTGGTCGATGATGAGATTATCTGGTGCCGGCAGGAGGTGGCTTATGGGCATGGGCTCTGGGTTGTTGGAGACTGGGGAATGCAGCAGGGGATCTCCGCTCCTGGTTCCATTGAGCCCAGAGTCTAAGGTCACAAAGTTCCGCATTACCTGGGTTCTGTAGGACTTCACTCATGTATGAGACTTGGCCCAAGCATGTGGGGAGCGGCCTTGAGCATGGCACGGGTTCCCACGTACCTCTGCGCTACAGGCCCTAACTGTCTTTTCATCTCTTTTTGAGATTTATGGGTCTCTGGAATAAGGCCAATAAATGAGCTTATATAGCTGAGCTGGAGGTGGTTTGTAGGTGTGTCTCCCACATACCTAACTTTTGGCCATTTAATTTCTTGGTAAACTTTGCCCCAAGTTGTTGGTGTTTGGCCAAAGGCACAGCAGCAATTTGGGGGTATCTGAAAGTCTGAAGGCATCATCAGGCTGCTGATGCACTCACCTCACAGGTACAGGTTGACCTGCTGGCTGCACCATACCCCCTTCACTCCCAATTTAAATGGAAGCACACATTTAGAAATAATACTCATAACACACATGTAATAAATAACACACATGTAATAAAATACTCAGAATAATAGAAGACTCAGAGAAACTGGAAAGTGGATGTTCTTCAAGGGGTACTGGGATCACTTAGAGATTACCCAATCCCACAGTTTGTTTGTTTATACATACGAGAGATTGCTCGAGCGGGCCCAGTAATGTCTCCATTGGAGACTTTGTTGTTACTGTGTTTGGCATATCGGACACATCACAGGGAGCTTGCCAGGCTCTGCCGTGCGGGCGAGATACTCTCGGTAGCTTGCCGGGCTCTCCGAGAGGGGCAGAGGAATCGAACTCGGGTCGGCCATGTTGGCTACCGCTGTGCTATCACTCCGGCCGAGAGATTATCTACAGAATTATTTATACTTTCCCTCCCCCAACCTCCCACCACCTCCTCCACTTCTTTATGTTCATCTTACCTTATCTGTTCCTCTGAGAACTTTCTAAGACTGTCTGCTTCAAGGAAGTATTGTTGTTCAAGGTTATAATGCAAACTCATTAGGAAGGGCTTCTTCTGTATATCCCATCAGCAGCATTGAAGGGCTGTCCATGGTTTCCTTTGCCTGGCATTTATCCAGGGCTGGCCTGCTCCGAGACCCCCAAGGCCAGATAGATCCTGCAACTTGCTAGCTCAGGCTACTCTAAACAAAACACCACAGCCTATTATAACAAAACACCCAGTTTGTTTAAGTTCTGCAGCTTGGACAAACAAGGCAGCAATTGTGTGTGTGCTTTGGTTCCTGGGGAGAGAAGCAGGAAGGGTGATTCTGAGAAGATCTATTGTCGCTTATCTCTTAAGTCTTAAAGAATTTAAGTGCAAAGAGGCCCTGACTGAAAACACCCCTGCAAAAGGATATGTCTCATCTGTGGGATTTTAAAGATGCACAGTAAGGAAGCTGGCAACTGGCGAGCTGGTCCACAGAACTGTGTTTCAGAGGTGAGAGTTAAACAAATGGAAAGGCCTGTGGGGACCTTCGTAGAGAAAAGTGGGCAATCTGGTGGTGTCAGAAAGATGTAGCCATGAAACCATCAGCACAGTATTATCAACCAGTGCTTCTCAATAAAGATGAAGAATCTTAATATTTTGATTTGTGTCTATTTTTTGCTGTTTTTTTTTTTTTTAAATAACAGGCTGTTATTATCCCCATGCCCTGACCTATTGCTGTTTCTCAGGTTCGGGCGGAAGTTGGTATTTAGATGGTGTGTGCTCCTGCTGGCCATTGCTGAAACCAGTGCGGCCTTTGTTCCCACCTTCCCCCTTTACTGCACACTACGCTTCTTGGCTGGGTGTTTCACTTCCAGCATCCTGACAAATTCTACTATGCTTAGTAAGTTGAAGCACTTTTGGATCTTTGACGCTTTCACAGCCCTGACTCAAGTTCCAACTTTGTTTGAAGTGAACATTTTGTTTATGATTTCTTTCAGTTATGGAATGGGTGGTACCTCCCTTCCAAGCCTTGGGAATAGTAATTACAGCCTCTTGCAGTTGCATCAGCTTGATGATTCTGGGAGGAATAGCTTTTGCCATTCGAGACTGGTTCATCCTTCAGCTGGTGTATTCAGTACCATTATTCTTCATCTTTCTTTCCTCAAGGTATAAATTTCCTTTCTTCCTTTGTCTAAGATTCCAGGTTGCAAGTTACATGAAATTGGGACATAAGAACATTTGGTCCTTAGCCAGCACTTGGGCACATGCTCTACTTATTTGTGTCCTCTGTTCAATTCAAGAAGCAGAACAGGTAAGCTTGCCAGATAATCTCAGGCACACTCAGCTTAATTAGAATTTCAAATAAACAACACGTAGTTTATACCATGTTTCAAATATTGCATGGAGCATAGTTATAGTAAAAAAAAAAAAAGAAGGTTGTTTAATTGAAATTTTGCTTTACTGGGAAGTTGGAAAATAAATGTACATGACTTTCAAAGACATAAAAGTTTTCTATAAACAGTGGATAATTTTTAGTGCAAGTATTTCCAAAGCATTGCGTGGGTTGTAGCTGTTGCTCAAGAATTACTCATAGTCACTCTATCCAAATACAAGCTTAACTGGGCACACCATTTTTATTTGTTTAAACTGGCCATGTCCTCTGAATAAAAATGGGAACCCGAAAGGCTTCTTCTCTGTATTCCAAGCAAAAAAGGTCATTCACATGGAAAGGTCATTCACAATTTCCAAGTTAGGGTCCAGGAGAGCAAAACTTCCCAGTATACTAAAAAGTGGTAGGTGTTAGATAGAGAGAGAGGTATTTCAGAACAAAGGTTCTGTGAAAAATAAGCAAGGGATATTTGACTTCATGTCTCCTCCTCCGCCTTCTCCTCTTCCTCCTCCTCCTTCTCCTTCTCTGCCTTGTCCTCCTCCTCCTTGTCCTCCTCCTCCTTGTCCTCCTCCTCCTCCTCGCCTTCCTCCTCCTCCTCCTCCTCCTCCTCCTCTTCTTCTTCTTGCTCCCCTATGTTTCCTCCTCCTCCTCCTCGTCCTCCTCCTCCTCGCCTTCCTCCTCCTCCTCCTCTTCTTCTTGCTCCCCTATGTTTCTTCCTCCTCCTCCTCTTCCTCTTCCTCCTCCACCTTCTCCTCCTCTTCTTCTGCCTCCTTAATACTGTTCCAGAAATCCATCAGGGCTTACATATGCAAAGTTCACACATGCTCTATGGCTGAGCAATATCCTTTGCTCCCTCTTTTTGATCAGATGGCTGGCAGAATCAGCTCGGTGGCTGATTATCAAGAACAAACTGGAAGAAGGCTTAAAGGAACTTAAAAAAGTCGCACACGCAAATGGAATAAAGAATGCCGGAGACATCCTAACCATGGAGGTGAACATAAGAGGAATTTGGCTGCAAGACACAGGGCAGATGTGAGCTAATATACATACACATTAGTTGGTATCCATAAGGTAAAAGAAAGGGTGAGTGGACACATCTGGTTAGGGTGTTTTGAACTCATTGTCCTGGTTCTTCATTAGCATATTTCCCAAATATGCCATTTGGGAAAGAATTAGACACAGAGGATTGCAAATACTTAATGGATAGAACTTGGAAACAAGACTATGTCTGAACATCATTGCACAGCCTATATAAAAATTCCATTGTTTTCTAAAGCGTTTTAATACCCGTTTTATTTATGACCTATGGAGAGAACACAATATATGATCTGTATTCATAACAAGTTAAAGCATACTGTATAGTATAATAATGTTTTACAGTAGGACAGATTTATTTTTTGTAACTGAAATTTGTCCTCTTTGATATCCTCTTTTTCCACTTAAAAAGCACCATTCTATTCTCTGCTTCTGTAAATCTTTTCAAATTCCTTCTCTACAAGGTATACTATAGTATTTGTTCTTCTGGGTCTGGTTTATTTTGTTCACTCCCTGTCCTCCAGATAGGTTCATGTTGTGGCCATTGGCAAGGTTTTTAATACCGACTAATCTACCATTGTAGCTGGAGACCATATTACTTAAGAACTGAACTATTGCATTGTTTATACAAGATGGTTACTAAGAATATATCTGTTCATATTATTTTCCTTACCACGCAGTGTTATTTGAGCATGCCCAAGGAATTGTCAACTAGTCACTCCAATGAGTTAATTGAAATTTAAGGCTGAATACTGAGAAATAGGAGTGCCACATCCCACCTGCCCCAATATAAGAGATGTATCTAGTAATATTTTCTACATTACTAACATCCATCCAAACCAAGTTCCCGGAAGAGAAAAACACAGAGTCTCCTGTCCTCGCACCCGGCTGTGGGGCCCCTTGGAGGGGGGCGGGTTGAATTTCCATCCCTGCCCCAAGCAGAGCCTCAGCAGCTGAAGGCCTCTGGAACCCAGCCACAGTCATGTTAAGCCTAATCCCCACACGCTCAGAGGAGCCTCACGCATGAAGGAACCAGCAGAGGATCCCAGGTGTGCTGGACCCAGGGCTGAGATCTCCAAGCCTGCTCGGATCAGGGCTGGGCCTCCTCCGCCCAGACTCCTCATCTTCCAGTAGCTAGACAGTTACACCCACCAACTGCTGTGTAATCCACTAACAGCGAAGATCCAGAGACTATAAAACCAAGCTCCCGGAAGCGCACTGCTGCATTTGCAGCGTGAGACCTCTTATTGTCAAATTTTGTTCTCAGAGAACCTGGCAGGCTACATAAAGTTTCCTGCCCACATATATGCTTAACTGGGAACACCTGTAAAGGTGATTAGAGGCTTCCCCAAAAGCCTCCATTTCTCTCGGAGAACCTTGCAAGCTACTGAGAGTATCCCGCCCACACGGCAGAGCCTGGCAAGCTACCTGTGGTGTACTCGATATGCCAAAAACAGTAACAATGATGGTCCTCATTCCCCTGACCCTGAAAGAGCCTCCAATATGCCATCGGGCAACACTAGCACGTGACAGGGATGAATGGAGACGTTACTGGCACCCACTTGAGCAAATCGATGAACAATGGAATGACAGTGACAGAGACTAGTATTCATGCAATTTGCAGATGGACATGAAATGGAGCCAATCCCTCATTTGCAGATGGACATGACATGGGGCCAATTCCTTGCTTAGTGGTAGGATAAGATAGCAGTGGACAGAAGAATTAAGTTCCCCAGGCTTGCCACCACGTGACTGTGTGAAGTTTCAGGGTGGGGAGAGGCAGGGCTACACAGGGCACCTGCCGAGGTTTAACGCATATGTAGGCAGGTGTGAAGTAGCCTCAGTCTCTGGCCTAAAGGGGGGAATATAAATGCACAAGTCAGAAGGATGGGGTTCCCCAAGTTGGCCTGCATGTGGCTGCATGGGGTTTCAAGGTAGGGAGGTTTATGGAAGACACTCTTTCCTTTTTTCTGTTTTCCTTTTAGTCACTGTGATCAATTCATTGTAACTACTGCAAAACTCGGACCAGCCGATTCCTCCGCCCCTCTCGGAGAGCCTGGCAAGCTACCGAGAGTATCTCGCCCACATGGCAAAGCCTGGCAAGCTACCCGTGATGTATTCGATATGCCAAACACAGTAACAACAAAGTCTCACAATGGAGACGTTACTGGGCTCCCTCGAGCAAATTGATAAACAACAGAAGGACAGTGCTTTTAGTCACTGTGGTTTACAATATGTTGCTGATAGAATATCATGCATATCCCTTTACCTCCTTTCTGCACCCAATCCTCAACCAGAGTGGCCACTTCCCTCTATCACTGTTACAGTGGTACCTTCCCTAATCTATGACCTTGGCCCCTCCAGTGGCAAGCTTTCCAGTAAGGATCAGCAGGAGCTCTTCACTTCTATTGCCCTCAAGTATTAGTTATTTCCCTATGATATTTCTTTATATCCTGTGCATGAATGAGATCATTCTGTGCATGACCTCCCCCTGACTCATTTCACTCAGCATGATACTATCCAAATTGCATGACTTCTTTTTTATGACCTAGTAGTATTCCATTGTGTATATGTACCATATTTTTTTGTTTGTTTGTTTTTTATCCAGTCGCCTGTTCCTGAAAACTTGAGTTGTTTTCACATTTTGGTTATACTGTATAGTGCTACAATGAATATGAAAATTCAGATGTCTTTTCTGTATTGTGTTTATGGGCCATTGGGGTATTTTCCCAGGAGTGGAATTTCTGGATCATATGGAAATTCAATTTATAGAATTTTTTTATGAATAACCATATTCTCTTCCCCAAAAGCCTGAACCTGTTGGTATTCCCACCAGCAATGAATGAGGGTCCGTACCCCTTCCCCCATTCCACCATACCCATGGAAACACTGGTTGTTGTTCTTTTAATGAGTTCTTCCAGTGTGAGGTGATATCTCATTGTTGTTTTGATTTGCACTTCCTGATAGTTAGTGATATAGGGCATTTTTTTCATATGCCTTTTGGCCATTTGTATTTTTTCTTTGAAGAAGTTTCTGATCATTCTTATCTCCATTTTTCCTGAGGTTGGTTTTATTTTTTCTTGTGAAGTTAGACAAGTGCTTTATGTATCTTGGATATTAACCCATTATCAGATTTAAGTGGGCAATTCGCAGTAATTTCTGTGAGTCTGTGGGTTGTTTTTGTATTCCGGTCATTCTTTTCTTTGAGGTGAACAAACTAAATTTAATGTAGCTCCATTTGTTTATCCTTGCTTTATTTAGCTCAATCAGTGACATTTCATCCTTAAAGATGCCTTTTGTTTTAGTTACAGGTCATATTTTTTTTGAGGTAAAGTGCATGTTTCAATTATAGACCACTTTTACTTCTTAAAGATTTATTAATATTTGCACAGACTCTCTGAAAGCCAAATTGGCAGTTATTACTCTTCAATGTATGGGTTAAAATTTTTTTAGAGAAGCCAGAGCTTCTCTAGATTTTGTTTGTGGCTATACTGTCAACTGATGATGGAAATTCAACTGCTGTTACTTCCTAATTCAGGAAGTTTTCTTTTAAAAAAATTTTATTTGGACATCATGATTTACATAGTTGTTTACAGTGGACTTTCAGGCATATAATGAAATGAAGAAACATGATATTTCTTTGCTTTGCTTTGTTTTCTCTTTCCTTCTTCCTACTTTCCTTCCTCTATTTCCTTCCTTCCTCCCTCCCTCCCCCTCCCCCCTCCTTTGCTCCCTCCCTCCCTCCCTCCCTCCCTCCCTCCCTCCCTCCCTCCCTCCCTTCCTTCCTTCCTTCCTTCCTTCCTTCCTTCCTTCCTTCCTTCCTCCCCTTTCTCTCTCTCTCTTCCTTTCTTTCTTTTTGTTGGTGGGGGGACAGTTGAACCACACCCAACTGTGTCAGGGCTCATTCCTGACTCATGCTCAAGGATCACTCCTGGTGGGCTTGGGGACCATATGCAGTGCTGGGGATGGAACCCAGGTTAGACTGCATTTTCTTCATCCTTTCCTTCATAGGTAGACATTAGATGCTGCCATGTCTTGGCTATTGAGAAAATAATGCAGTGATCTTGGAAGTGCAGACATCGCTTCATGATCCAGATTTCAGATGCTATGAATATATACCCAGAAGAGAGGGCATATGGAAGTACTAATCTAATTTTTTGAGGAAACTTACTACAATGCTGTCTCCACAATGATAGTACCATTTCACATTAAAATCAACAGTGTGCAAAAGTACCCTTAGCTCCACAACCTCACTAATGCATATATATAATACATAATATATATATATATAATACATAATCAACCCGAGTTCGATTCCTCCGCCCCTCTCGGAGAGCCCGGCAAGCTACCGAGAGTATCTCGCCCGCACGGCAGAGCCTGGCAAGCTCCCCGTGATGTATTCGATATGCCAGACACAGTAACAACAAAGTCTCCAATGGAGACGTTACTGGGCCCGCTCGAGCATATATAATACAAATATATTAAATAACAACCATTCTAATTGGGATGGAGTTATGGCTTACTGACTTTGATTCCTTCTCTCCGCCAGTAGTGAGGTTGAACACAGGTATGTACTGTATAATTGTGTAATCTCCGGGCGGCTAGGGAGCCCCGCAGCTCTCTCTCTCTCTCTCTCTTTCTCTCTCTCTCTCTCTCCCCCCTCTCTCTCCTTTGCCATCTGCGTTTGGTGGACTCAGGCCCACTCCCCCACTGGGGACAGCCAATGCCATGGGCAGACAAAGGAGGAAACGAGGCCGCCAAGCTGGTTGAAGATCAGTTGCCGTTTATTCCATTCTCCCCAAGCACCTGTTCCAATTTCACTAAACTCCCCATTCTACTCTCACACTGCACCTCAGTCCCGTCTCCTCCTGCCTCTCCTGCTCATCTCTCCTCTCTCCCTCTGGCAGCCGCATCTCTCATCTCTCCACCCACCTGCTACTGCATTCTTCCTCTATATTCTTCTCCCTCTGTCCCCCTTGCTAGTCTCTCTGTGCTCCATCTTGCTGCCCGGGTCTCTCTCTAGTCTCTCTCAACTCTCTCCAACTCCCCACATTTGTAGTAGAATCAACATATCAAAGTTCTTCTTGATCACCCATCAAGGACAGAGATATCACCAAGGGGTTTTTCTCCTGTCCTTAGTCCAATAACTTAATTAACATCTTAATTAACATCCTAATTCTACTTAATGTTAGTTATTTTGTGTGGACACAGTAAGAGATACATTGAGTTTGTAGGGTGACTCTCCTGGGGACATCTCGCTATAGATCTCAGACTACAGTGCTCAGGCCAGATTAATCATTCCTAACCCTAAAGTAAGTAAAGGGCCCTCCCGTTGATCATCGATTTGCTCGAGCGGGCCCAGTAACGTCTCCATTGGAGACTTTGTTGTTACTGTGTCTGGCATATCGAATACTCTCGGTAGCTTGCCGGGCTCTCCGAGAGGGGCGGAGGAATCGAACTCGGGTTGGCCATGTTGGCTGCGTGCAAGGCAGACGCCCTACCCGCTGTGCTATCGCTCCAGCCTAGCAGGGCCCTATTCCAGTTGTTACTTTTTGGATCAAGACAGAATTTGTCCATGACCATGCTCTTAACTTATCGATAAGCATTATGGTGCTTTGGCCAGGCCCATTTCGATCCCAGGGTAGCTCACGGCCTGCCCTGAGTCCATCCAGTTCTTGTCGGTACCCTACTCTTGGGATGCTAGGAAGTAAGGGCAACTGAGGCTTAGGTTGAGAGAACAGATGTCCAGGAGGTGAATATCATTCAGAGTCAATTAGCTCCCAAGTTACACAAGCATAGCATGCGCTGTCTTCCTGTGTCTATACAAAAAGGACGTTGCTCTGAATTAACAATGCAAAGGACTTAAGGAGAAGAGAAAAGCAATATTTACAAGTTAACAGAGCACAAAGAAAGAGGTTTCAAATAAACACAGAGGAATGGGAGCACTGTGATAGGAGTAACCCAATAAACCTAAGCTTCCTGTGGCAAGGCTAAAAGGACAAATCAGTGTCATCCTACAGATAACCATCTGTATGTTATCTCTGATGAAATGTCAATTCCAGGGTCCATACCCTTATTTTGGCCTTTTTGCTATTGAGTTACATCCCTCTATTTATTTTGGATATTTACCCTGTGTTTGACGTAGAGGTAGTGAATGTTTAGTCCTGCTCTGTAGATATCTTTTCACTTTACTATTATTTCTTATATATCTAGGAGCTTTTTGGTTTGCTATTATCCCACCAGTGCTTTTGGTTTTATAGATAACTGCAACCAAGGTCTGCATTTTTTATCCTGTTTTCTTGAGTTTCAGTTTTGAGTGTCATGTTTAGTCCATAATCTATTTTGAGTTTTTCAAGTGGTTATGACATAAATTTCTGGTTGATTCTTTTTCCTATGAATATTCAAAATTCACACACCACTAATACTGTGGTAATACAGTGCTCACCACCATATTAGATTATTTTAGGCTTGTCCATCTATCCTCTTTTCCTATAAAGATAGTTTTATATTCCTGATTATCATCCATTCAACTTGAAGAGCTCCCCTTTGCAGTGTTTATACAGCAGGTTTTTGGTGACAGATTTCATCATTTTTTTCCTCTGGAAAAGTCTTTATTGCTTCTTAATTTTTTTAGTGCCAAAAACAAATTGCTTTTGGATTTCTTTTACTACTGTTCTGTTGTTAGGGCTGGAGCGATAGCACAGAGGGTAGGGCATTTGCCTTGCACGCCAACGTGGTTGACCTGAGTTCGATTCCTCCGCCCCTTTCGGAGAGCACAGTAAGCTACCAAGAGTATCTCGCCTGCACGGCAAAGCCTGACAAGCTCCCCGTGATGTATTCGATATGCCAAACACAGTAACAAGTCTCACAATGTTACTGGGTCTGCTCGAGCAAATCGATAAACAACAGGACAGTGACAGTGACTGTTCTGTTGTTATGACAAAGGTGGGTAGGGGTAAGGAATTCTCACATGCTCCACAACGTTCTTTGTTGGGTGACTGCACTCTTGGTTAGGGTGTTCACCAGGGGTCACACATCTGGTTGCAGCACTCACACACTTGCTCATGATTCTTGCCAGGGACTGCACACTTCAAATAAAGTACTTGCTTGAAGTTGCTCTCATTCAGTGAGCACCATTTGCAGTCACTCTCCCCCTGCCCCCCCCAAAAAGAAAAAAAACAACATAGTGTTAGTATTATCTCTACCAACAATGAATTTGCTCACCAGCTAAGTCCACAACTGAGATTTTGCCACAGGTACAGAGCCTGCCTTACATTCCATGAGGTATTGCCTAGGCAGGAGATCTGAATGAAATCTTTTTCCAGCAACATTCATAGTTTCTGCTGCATGTCCATTACATTCTCCCTCACTTATCAATCAAATTCCTCATTTCCCCGTTGGCAACAGAAGGTAGAAAGGGGCACTGTGTTACTCTTTCATAGTGCTTTTTTTATGAAGAAAATGTCACCACCCCCAACCACTAGTTGGTCTCAGGCAACTTCCTTTCGATGTACCATCAAGGTCAAATTTGTTACAGGCAACTCCCAGCAGATGTTTTCATCATCCTGATAGCATTTGGCATCTTCATCTTTTAGTACATCTTCCTTCCCTGGGCAATCCATTCTACTGGGTCTAGACGTTTGGTGAGATGTTGGTTTTATCTACCTTCTTCTTTACTAGAAAGTCTGCACATTCCAAAGTTTCTGATGCTGTCCTCTCACCTCAGACCTGTTCTATTTCCTTTTCTCTTACAGTGTGACTGTGTCTGGTTTTACTTGAATATTTATTTCTATTGTTTCATTGTGCTTCAGATCAAGAACTAATGCTCCACAGTGGCCCAGCATGAATTTCATGCTCCACAAACTTTCTCAAGTGCCCTTCATCCCAAGCTACATCCCCCAAGCCATAAGTAAAAGCATTCCAAGGGGACTATCACTCAGTGGTAAAGCAAAATCCTTGCATATATGAGGCCCTGGCTTCATCCCCCACAGCAACAATAAAACCCCAAAGTATTCTACTGAAGTGTGAGCGTTCCTTTAACTTCTCCATTCATTTCCCATACCATTTAAGTGCTCTTTGAAGCAATATTAACAATATGACACCTGGGCATCCAACTTGTCCTCTGTTGGGGGGGGTGTCTCACAGTGCCCTTCACTAGGTTCTATCAAGACTTTGTTTGCTGTTGTGGTTGAAGGTTGTGAGAACCAACATGCAGGAGGATATAGAGGCAGTGAAGATGAAGGTCTCGATGTTCCATCTCTTCCGCACACCCACCATGCGTAAGAGGACCTTTCTCCTGTGTTTTATAAGGTTAGTTTCTATATCTTTTTCTCTTTTTTTTTTTGTGGCCACAATCAACGATGCTCAGGGTTTACTCCTAGCTCAGAACTCAGGAATCACTCCCGGTGGTGCTCAGGGAACCATACGAGGTGACCAGGATTAAACTTCCACTGGTCACCTGCTGTACTATATATAGCTCTAACCCCTGACTTCTGTGTTTTATTGAACACTCTGTGGGGGCAGATTTGACATGAAATATGAGGAAAACACAGAGATCATTGCTGTGTCTGGAGGTTGTCAAAAGGGCAAGGCAAAGAATAACAATGATTCGATGAGGAGTTGTATTAATCACATCACTCCCCCAGACCCTTTTCCCGAAAGTTTTGCGGAGAATGTCAGTCATGGTACAAGACTTGTTTATGCTTCTTTCCTATTTATTTCTTTGTCATATTTTCACTTCAGTTGAAGTAAAACTACAGACATCAAAATACACAAATACATACAACTGGATGAACATTTCCATATATATGTAGGCAGGTATCTTGAAGGCAAAGATACAAAGTCTAATACCTTCAGATACCTCATTAGCTATTCACAAGAGCAACTCTTTCTGCCTGCGATAATAACCCAGCAACAACTGTGACCTCTTTCATCACACAATTTTTTAGGAGTTAAAAAGTTTCTATTAAAATATTTTATTTTATTTATTAAAAAATTTTATTAGACTGCTACTGACTCATAATGGGAATCTTGCTATTTATACTCAATGGAAGCAAATATCTTGATTTGTATTAGTTTTTTCCTTGCATTTATTCTTTTTAGGTAAGATTATTGTGATAGTTATTATTTCTGATATTTATATAAAAATTTTCACCATCAGCATGATGTGTAAAGAACTCACATGGCCTGAGGTAACTTCTGGTCTGCCTCTGCAGTCCCCCACCTGCTTCTGTTTGATAAATTTGAATTTTGTAATCTAAGGTCAATAGTTTGACATCGATCTCTTGTTTTGCCTCTCTCTTTATCACAAATAAGTGAGATTATCTTTTTTTTTGTCCTTCTCCCTCTGACTTATTTTGCCTATTCACAATACTCTCCAGTTCCATCCAGGTTGCAGTGAAATGGGTTATTTTATCTTTCCTTATAGCTGCTTAGTATCCCATTCACAATGTTTTATGAAAGTATTAGCATAATTACCATGCAAAAAATATTCTACGACGCAGAACATGAGTTTATGCTGTAATACCAACCATGGTTTGTCTGTGCCACTATTTTTTTTTAACCATCATTTGTAGAACATAGGCTCTAAACTTTATGATAACAAGTGTGTTTCTTTGTTTACCACAGATTGGCAATCTTAATTCTTTTTTATGGCCTGGCTCTGAACATCCAGTACGTGGGGAACAATATTTTCCTGTCCCAGGTTCTCTTTGGTGTAATCACCTTGCTAGGCAATTTGGTTGGACTATTCTTACTGAATCATATGGGCCGTCGAGTAAGCCAGATGCTTTCATTCTCCCTTGTTGGAATCTTCATTTTAACCACCACATTTCTGCCTGAAGGTGAGAAAAGACCAAAGATAAAGAAAGGAAATGTCTATTCCCCATTCTCAGGGACTGCAGAACTCTATGAAAGCAGAAAGAAAGGGAGAATTTGGTTCTAAAGATTCCCCAAACCCAATGTGAGGGTCTAGGACGAATTCTACTGTTAAATTACTGGAGAACAGTCACAAGTCAATAAAAGTCGGTTCTGACGTATGGTTGTCTTCATCCTAGCCGAGAAACATCTGGTAATTAGTGCCAATTACTCCTGGCCTTGCCCAATCACATTTATAATTGTAAAGGAAAGTATTTTATATGTCATATGTAATTCTGTCAAATTTTCACCCAGGAATTATTTTTACTATCACTTCTTTGAAAATCTACTGACTTCAGTAGATTTTCATTCTATATATCTAATCCCCTGTCTGAAATCAAGCCACTTTAACTGCAGTCCTAATTAGGGAAGTCTTCTTGACTTAGGCGTTAAAAAAATCCATCATTTTCAAACAGAAAAGAATATTACAGGAAAAAATCTTTCTAGAGTCACAATTATCCTCTATCTTCAGCAAACATCTGAAATGCAGGTATGGGTGGTGCAATAACTTAGGTCCTTTCCCCTTGTGAGCATTTAATATGGAGGTAAGTCACACAGCTCAGCTTCCTGACACAGAACACTTGCTGACTCCGGGTATTTACTCTACAACATATGTAATATGTGTGAAAATCTCCAACAGTGTCTTATTCATTTGTAATTTAGGGGGTGATTTCTGCACCTCAGAATTTCTGATTCTCTCTTGACCTCCTCTCTCTAGAAATGTATATCCTACATCAGACTTTCCTGACTCTGGGAATAGGAATGATTTCTGCGGTTATCATGTGTGTTATTTCCCATGCAAATGAACTAATGCCTACTGTTGTCAGGTAAAAGTCTCACGGAAGTCCTGTATTGAACAAATGAAACTTCCCCACTAAGTGAAACTTAGAGGTGAAAGAAGACATAGTTATCAACAACATTGATTATATTTATTACTACTATAATAAACAAACATTGTCACCATTGTTGATGAAGAGCTAAGTTTCATCTGGCACTGTGTTAAGTCCTCTGATGCATCATCTTACATATTTCTGTGAACCTAAAGAATATTTTTCAGGATTGGTGAGGTGACACAGGGGTTCAGGTGATTGTCTTGCACGCAGCCAATTCTGGTTCAATTCCAGGCAACTTATATAGTCTCCCAAGTACTGTCAGGAGTAAACCTGGAGTGCAGAGTCAGGCATGATCCCTGTGCATCACTAGATGAGGCCCTTCCCCACCAAAAACAGCGTATTTTTTTAAAAAAAAACAATGAGAATATCTTGTGCACTTAGAAAAAAACTGAGATAAATAAGAAAGCTTATTTAGAATGTAAGAGAATATTTTTGGTCTTGAAGTATCTAAACATGGCTTGGGAGAAATCCCATAATCACATTGAATAACAACTAAACAATAAATAATAATAATAATACATTTATGTGTGCAAATGTGTAACAGATGTTTTGCATTGTTTGCTTCCCAGGGCCACAGCTTCAGGGGTCTTGGGAATTACTGGCAACATAGGGGGAGCCCTGGGTGCTCTCTTGATGGTCCTGAGGATATATTCTCACCACTTGCCCTGGATCCTGTATGGGGTCATCCCAATCCTCTGCATACCTGTTGTCTTCTTCCTTCCTGAAACCAGGAATCAACCTCTGCCTGATTCCATCCAGAATGTGGAGAACCAGTGAGTAAACTAAACCCATTCATTCTTTTATGGGAAGCTCTACACTAAAGGTCTGTGATAAAGGAGGCAAAACAACATTCAGAGCCATTGCTCCTAGTTTTGTTCTAGGTTATTTTCCTGTGGTCAGAGCCTTCAGCTTAGCCATTGTTCATCCCTTCCCACCAGGACTTCTGACCTCTCTAAGGCTTCCTAGATCATAGAGATCGCTCTTCCCATCCTGCATCAGTTTAGTGGTCAAGAGACCACAAGTGAAAAGTAGCTTGTTGTAGAGAAAAGCATATACCCCAGAGCAAGATACATCCCCAAGAGGTATTTCACAGACACACACAAGCCCAAATATCTGATTCTCATCTCCCAGTCCCTGGGAGCTTTCGTCTGGGAAGTGCAGTGAGAGTTATGGGACTTCTAGGTTCTGGAGGACTGAGGACAGCCCTGGGCACTCAAAAATCTAAGGCAGATGAGGGGAAGGGATAAGAGCTCCTCCCACAGTTGACAAAATAGCTCAGGAGTTCAGTTGTACTGTCAATGAGATCCAAACCCTCTGGTTTTATTGGAAATAAAACTTGTGAAGCAAGGGAGGAAAGATAATACAAAATTGTGTAAGACTTTTAATAGCACAGTGGTAGGGCGTTTGCCTTGCACGCAGCCAACATGGCCGACCCGAGTTCGATTCCTCCGCCCCTCTCGGAGAGCCCGGCAAGCTACCGAGAGTATCTCGCCTGCAAGGCAGAGCCTGGCAAGCTCCCCATGACGTACTTGATATGCCAAACACAGTAACAACAAAGTCTCCAATGGAGATGTTACTGGGCCCGCTCGAGCAAATCAATGATCAACAGGAGGGCCCTTTTTAAGTATTTATATAATTCCCTTTCTGGAATATTCTTTTAGTCAAGGCTGTGGTTTCCAAAGGTGAACAGAAACTATCAATGTTGCCTTGTCCTCTATTGCTGCAAGAACTTGGTTTTTACGTTCCTAAGAATTCCTCAAGTGCTTTGAGTATCATGATAGTTTTCCGATCAATATGGTGGGTGAATGATCAGCTTGTTCTAAAGATAATATATTTGCACACACCCAAGTGGTGCTCAGAGGACCTTGTGGAGATGGGAGATGGAAACTGGGCTTCCTTCATGCAAAGTATGAGGTCATTCTGCTGAGCTCTCTCTGGCTCAAAAAAAAAAAACAAAACGCTTCTTCTGTACTTTTTAAAAATGTGTTGATTTTTGGCCATTTTCATTATGTTTGTCCCAGGAGAAAAGGCTCAAGAGAACCAAAGCAGGAAGATACTATTGATTCCATCAAAGTGACATCATTTTAAGGAATTCTGTGAGCTGTTTATCAAAGAATAAGATAAAAGGTAAATTTCAGGTCATTTTTAGGTACAGGCAAAGTATGGAAAGTAATAAAAAGATACAATGTAAAATGGACACCATTGACAATTATTACAATAGTAAATTATTATTAATAAAGGACTTGTGATTAATTCTAAGAAGTTTGGAATGGGGTTGAAGAGAAGTTTGGAGTGGGTAGGGTGCTTACCTTGTAAGTGTACAATCCAGGTTCTTTCCCCAGAATCCCTTATGGTCTTCCAAGACCTCCAAGAGTGATTTCTCAGTGCAGAGCCAGATGTAACCCCTGAGCACCACCATGTGTGCTCCTAACAACCCTCTTCACCACAAACAATGAAGTTTGATAAAAGTCATGACACGCTCAAAGCAAATATATAAATACAGTTTTATGCCTGTATGTGTTTAGCTTATTTTGGGGTAGAAGATATAATTGAATTAAGGAACATTTTTCCTTTCTGGTGGTCCTCAGTGCTTACTTCTGACTGTGTTCTCAGGAATCACTCCTGATGGGGGTCTAGGGAACATATGTGGCACCTGGTTCATCCATGTGCAAAGCAGGTGCCTTACCCTCTGTACTATTGCTCTGGCTCCAAAACATCAATTCTTTTTCCAAAGAGTAATGATTTTTTTATAAATAATTTATTTATTTATTTATTGAATCACTGTGGGAAAAGTTACAAAGCTTTCAGGTTTAGGTCTCAGTCATGCAAATATCAAACACATTTCCCTTTACCAATACTTATTTTTTACCACGAAGAACCCCAATAAAACCCCACCCCCCACTCCTCCCAATGCCTGCGAGGCAGGTGAATTCTAGTTGACACTCTATCTGCTTTGATTAGGTTCATTGTTTCAATAAAAGACGCACCACTATTATTTAGAGTTTACCCCCCACCCCAAATCAGACATGCTGAAAAAGCATTGTGAAGTGATTTGCTTTCTACAGCTGGGTTCAAGAATTAAATGTTGGTTTTGGATTTCCACTATTTTACTTATTAACCCTGGAAGTATTTCTACTGAAAGTCAGATAATTAAGAGATTGGTTTCTGTGCTCTGGAGTCGTGGCCGTGCCAGAGAGCCGCTTGTGGGGGGCAACTGGTGGCCTCGCTAGGGCGTGAAGGACAGACTGGAGCGCCCCCCTTCCCATGAGGTTTTAGTCGCCCCCCACACCGCCGGCTCATACCTGCTCTCCACAAGGCTCCCATGCGGCCGCCATCTTTCTTTCCAGAGGGAGGAGGGCGGAAGGGAGCAACACCCTTTCCCCTCTGGGCAGACATGATGGCCTGGATTAACGCATAGTCCGTTCACTTTTCTGCTCCAAGCTGCTGGGTTCTGCATTAAGTCCTTGTGCTTCTGGGGCTGTGGCCGTGCTCCCAACTTAACTCTGATTTTCAGGGAGAAACGTTGGGTGATTTACTTCCCATTGATCACTTTGTATATATAGAGATGTTGCGCGGCCGCTTATGTGGCTGCACAGTTTGGAGGAAAAGTCCTTGTTCCCGCATACTCGAGCTATGCTTGTAGAGGCTTCTGGTCACCGGGGTTCCATCTGGGGGAGGCGGGATGCGTCACCTACCCCATCTGGGACTTCCAGGTGATCTTGGCTTTTTTTGGAACCTGGTGTCTTCTCCAGGAGCTGTGGAGCCAGCCCTCCATGTGGCCCTTCTTCTCTGCGGCTGTGTGCTGTAAAGATCGATTTTTTAAGTTGCAATGAACATCCCCATATATTTGGAATAATTTGGAATAAAGTTAAAAAATATTTCTACAAATTAGTAATAGAAAGGATGTTTCAGAAAAATGGGCATCAGGTCTGAGAAGATAACTCAAAGAGCTAAGAGGCCCTGATTCAATCCCCAGTACTATATGGTCTCCATACTACTAACAGGAATGACTTCTGAGCATCCTATCAGTATTAGTTACTGAGAACTACTGGTGTGGTCCAAAAGTTTCTGTCCACCTCACAAATGATGTTCAAGAGCAAGGGTGGAACAAACTTGTATTTAAGGGAGCATATGCTAGTGTAAGATGCAGTATTCAAAACCCTCACACTAAATGCATTTACAAAAGCAAGAGTCCTGTGGTAACAAGAATAGTGCTTAAAAATGAATAAGTTAACCATCATAAACAGCTGGTAGAAATAAGTTATTATGTATAAGCAATCATTTTTTATAATAAATGGCTAATAATTTTACTTCATAGGCTAAACAAAAAGTTCTAAGATGACTTGAAGAGATTAGTGGACCAGTTGTTCTATATCACATTGTTGTATAGAAAGTATGGCTACAAAATCTTATGCTAAAGAAATTTAAAATAATTTTTTTCACTGAGGTAATGTTAACTTGTAACATCATACAGGTTTCAAGCATATCCCATTGTAATTCAATTTATACCATATTTATTTATATTACATTAGGATAATCACTGAAAGTCTAGTTACCATCCAACATGCTTCAATTGAGCCCCTCTGTCATTCCTTATTGTCCAGCTTTTCTAGAAAGCACCTCCTGTTGTCAGAATCTAAGGGTTTGTTTTTGATTTGTTTATTGGCTTCAGTTATAAGCTTTTTTTCTGTGGTTGCCATGAAGTTCCAGTGTACCTTTCTATGTGAAAAGTATTTTGTGCTAATTAAATTAACTGTAGCATTGTAGCACTGTCCTCCCGTTGTTCATCGATTTGCTCGAGCAGGCCTAGTAACGTCTCCATCGTGAGACTTGTTGTTACTGTGTTTGGCATATTGAATATGTCATGGGTAGCTTGCCAGGCTTTGCTGTGCGGGTGAGATACTCTCGGTAGCTTGCCGGGCTCTCCGAAAGGGGTGGAGGAATCGAACCCAGGTTGGCCAGGCTGGCTGCATGCAAGGCAAATGCCCTACCGCTGTGCACATTCAAAAACTGTGTCTGGAGAGGAAGTAAGGTGTAGGGCATTTTTTTTTTTGAGGGTGGCTGATCCAGGATCAATCTGTGGCACCCTATATAACCTCCGGAGCACTGCCAGGAGTCAGAGCCAGGAGTAAGTACAGAGCACTGTTACATGTGGCAAAAAAAAACCCCACAAAAACAATTTTTAAAAAAATACTCTACTCTTTTGTTTCCTCTTCTTCTTACATTTTTAAAAATTATTTTTATTTTTATTAGTGAAACACCATGTGGTACAGTTTTAGACTTACAATTTTTTTGTGCTTGGGTTTCAGTTATACAATGATTGAGTACCTATCCCTCCACCAGTGCCCATTCTCCACCTCCAGTGCTCCCAGTATCCCTCCCACCCCCTTTATCCCCCCCCATCCCAACCCCACCCCTGTGGCAGGGCATTCCCTTTTGTTTCCTCTCTCCTTTTGGGTGCTGTGGTTTGCAAAAGAGGCATTGAATGGCAATCATGTTCAGTCTATAGTCTACTTTCAGCATGCATCTCTCATCCTGGGAGGATCCTCCCAAGACCTTTTATTTGGTGCTCCCTTCTCTATCTGAGCTGCCTTTTCCCCTAGCATGTGTGGCTGGCCTCCAAGCCATGGAGTGAACCTCCTGGTACTTATCTCGGCTATTCTTGGGTGTTAGTCTCCTATTTTGTTTTCTTCTCACATTTTTAATATCTCATTTCTATCTTTAACTTACATGTATCCTTGAACGAATTCTTATAATTTTGACTAATTCTGCCATTTAGGGCTGGAGCAATAGCTCAGCAGAAGGGTGTTTGCCTTGCACGCAGCCAGCTCTGCCGAGCCGGGTTCAATTCCTTCGTCCCTCTCAGAGAGCCCGGCAAGCTACTGAGAGTATCTTGCCCGCACGGAAAAGCCTGGCAAGATACCCGTGACATATTCAATATGCTCAATACAGTAACAAGTCTCATGATGGAGACATTACTGGGCCCGCTTAAGCAAATCTGTCTTTTAATCTCTGTGCTTCCTTACAAGAGATCCACAGCTTTTACTGTACCTCTACCTTTCTTGTTGAAATACTTGTTTTACATATGTATTCTTGGTACTACTTTTCCCATTTTATTCCACTTATTGAAGTTTCTTTAAAGTGTCTAAAAATAAAGTAGCACTGGCATTGGCAAGTTTGTGGTAGTTTGCCAACGTGGTGAGAACTAATATTTCTAAACGAATGCTATCCATAAAGTTTCCCCCCTCTCAGTTAGCTGCCAAAGGAGTGACACGTTGGATCTCAGCTGAAAATTATATTTACATGCTTTTCAGGCCAGTGTTACTGTATAGTTTCTGTAAGCAAATGAGTCTACATGCAGAAATTTTAAGGGTGGGTTCTCTCTTCTATACAGTTCTTTGGACTTTTTTTATGGATTTATTTCCCAAAGTTGAGACTCCAGAGACTTACCTCTATCAGGCAGATGAAGGGGTTGCTGTACTTAATGAAAAGTATTCCTCTTTCCTCACTGTCCAAGTAAAATTTCACACATTCCTACCATGCTGGGATTTTTCCTTGGTGAGAGCCTATCTATTTTTTTCTTGCCAGTCTCAATGCTGTCAATTTATCCTTTGTTATGACAGTACTGCTAGGTTTTCTGTGAAAATTATTTCACATATAACTGTGGACTAGTTTGTCTGCGAGAGAAGTGACTTCAAGTTCTTCACACAGTTACCTTAAACCAGAGAAAAAAATGACATGATATTCTGGAGGAAATTCTAGAAATCGTCAAACTCTGAATTATTTTATTAGTTTCTTTCTTTAGGAGACATACATGGTCCCCTCATTTATGTGGCTATAGATTATTATTTTTGAAGGAGCACAACCATCAGGACTAGGAGACCTTCAAGGCCATACCCGGAGGGCTTAATGCCCCTTCGCACAGTGCCAGACATCAAACTCATAGCCTCACACATGCTAAGCACGGGCTATCTCCCTGGTTCTACAGATTTTTTTTTCACAATTATATTACCTAAAATATAATTCTATTAACTTTTGGAAAGGAATAACAGAATCCATTCAAATGTTCCTAAGCAAAGGTAGTACATAAAACAAGTATAACCAATAAGAAGCTAGAGGCAGAGGAACACAAATATGAGATGATTTCATGCAAGTATACTATGGAGAGAAAATACTCAACGAATTAAGTAAAATAAAAATAAATGTTTACTGTTGCATGAACATTCATTCAGTCAGAGGCGCTGAGACAAAGAACGCGAAAGAAATTTATGTCATGGAGGGTCCAGGTCTCTCAGATCTGTGACAAAGCTAGAAAGCCCCAAATCTCCTTTTATTACCATCCTACTGTTCATATTCTAAAGGGCTCAATACAGTGAGGTCATCAAAAGAAGTTACAGAAGTTATAGAAAGAACACTGAGGCAGGCAAAGCATGTATCGGTTCCATGTATTGGCAGACCAGTGCGTTTTGGCCTAAGGAAAGAGATACAAAACCAAAACCGGAACCTTTCTTGGGCTACAAGTATTTGGATTTGCATCCCAAAGACAAGGCTGAGCTGGGCACCTGAAATCTACCTCCCAAAGAGTAGGCTGGACCAGAGCCAGGAATCTACAACCCCAAAGATCAGACTAGGCTTCTGTGAGAAAAGGAAAAACTGACTCTTTCAATATACTGAAATTTATGAAATTATTTACTGAAGGCAGCTTAAAGGAAAAAGATGTTCCATTTCATCCAAACCAGTCAGGACGTAAGAGAAATCTCGCCCATTTCCATGGGTCCCTATGTTCCTGCCCATTGTATGGTGCAGTCTACATGGGCTCATCCTGATAGCTCAGTTCAGTCCTAACAGTTTACCTCCTAACATGACTTAGTGGTTGCTAGAATAGAAAGGGGGAAGGATGGTAGATAAATGAGGTAAGGGGCTAATTGGTGAGAAATGGATTTTAGTGGTGAACTTAATGTAGTGTCAGGACGCAGATCATGATCTCCCTTTAATGACAAAGAGACTCCAGAGACTGCAAATAGCAAGCAAGGTTTATTGTGAGACTGGCTAGCCAGGGTCAAGCCGCCTACACAGACACGCAGGTCAGATAGGTGAGGCAAGACCCCGAACTTCTTCAAAGGGGATCTTATATAGGCCTTCACTGGCCGTTACAGCAAAGCCCACGCTTTTCATAGCCAATAGATTTGTGACAAATTATACTTTCTTAACCAATCCATTTAAAAGTACATCACTCCTTAGCCTATAGATTCAAAGATCAGCATTCACGTACATAGGCATTGTGGCTAGTGGGCATCTGGACATTTGGTTATCACCTGGCTCCCTTTGATTTGGTGGAAGCAGATAAGGGAAAAGTTCCTAACAGAGGTAACAGATAAGGAAGGGCCAACAAATGATTTCAGAATTTACATCCCAGCAGGGAAGAGTCAACAAATGGTTTCAGAATTTACATCCCAATAAGGAAGGGCTTCACAGCTAAGGCTCTATTAGGGAGGGGGCAGGAAAGGGAGAGTTACTAATTAGTAGAGTTTTAACTCTGGAATCTCTCTCAGGGTCCCTAGGGACCTTACAGTAGTTCAGACATTGGCTTAACAAATGAGGCACACCTGAAACTTATATAATGCTATAATGCAATGCTACTTCTATAAAAAAAATTAAAGTGAAATGTTGGCATTTTAACAAGTTTAAAAAAAAGTGCAGGTGATTTACAAAATGACATATCCTGGGGGCCCAGAAGACAGCTCAAGTGGAAGAGCACGAGTCTATTAGAAGGAAGGCTCTAAATCCAATCCCCACCATCACAGGGACTCTGAGCACTGCCAGGTATTGTTCTGGCTGCCGGAGTGAGCCCTATTTAAAAAAATAAAAATAAAATGACCTGGCATGGAAATCTGACAAAAGGAGCGTCTGACAGTATCAGAGCCAGTGACACTTTATTCTTCTCAAACTGCTGCTAAGCAGCACACTCCCTAGTCATCTTAGTGAAGGCAGCAGTGTGCTGGGCCTCACAAGAGGAAGTTTGTGAGAACCAGAGGCCAAGTGGATGGTTCATGGGATTTAGCAAAACTGAATCTGGTCTGGTCCTGCATGCTGCCAATCCAGGTACTGTCCCCAGTAAAACATGCCCACCCCCATCCCCACAGCATTGCTTGGTACAACTGTTAACTTTAGAAGCTTCTGAGTGCTGCCAGGTGAAGGTCCCTAAGAACCAACCACTGTGGTGGCTTGGTACTCTCTGGCACTGCAGGGGCCAAGAAATACTGGTTGAACCCCAATCCCAGTTGGCTGAGAATCACTCCTGAGCACAAGGAAGGAAGGAAGGAAGGAAGGAAGGAAGGAAGGAAGGAAGGAAGGGAAGAAGAAAGGACGGAAGGAAGAAAGAACATCACACTAAAAGAAAGGCAGATGTATTTCCACTGGAATATGACAAATGCATTTAATCAAATAAAATCAGAGACTAACCTAGACTTTGAGAATAATCAACTAATGAGCAAAAGTCTCTATAAATAGTTTTAAGGTCTAAGCCAGTTCTCAAACACATAATCACTAAACCAAAAAGAGGCTATTTGCTCAAAGCAAGGCAGGCTCTGCAGAAACCCCATGTAGCTGTTCCTAAGGACCCTAACATCAATTACGTTAGAAACATCCACTTCAAAGAAGATGTGACCTAAGTGACCTAGGTGACCTCTGTCACCTAGGTAGACAGAGGTCTGCTGGACAGAGTTCACGGTCGTAGAAATAATCTGTAAGTCATATTAGTACTAATACTTCAAAATCTAGACTAGAGTAGAAGAAAACAGGCAATATAAGGATGGCCTATACCAGATTTTCCAGACTCACAGTAACTTATCAGTTTCACAGAAACTAAAGTGATTGCTTTGCAATTTTTACTTTACTGATTGAATACACTTGGGAGTTGCATAACTTCCATATTGATCCCTTGATCTGCAAGTAAGAAGTATCATAACAGGGGCCAGAGCAATAGTACACATGGTTTGCTTTGCACGTGGTTGACTCGGGTTCAATCCCTGGCATGTGGTCCCCCAAGTCCTAAGAGGAATGATCCCTGAATGCTGAACCAGGAATAAGTCCTGAGTACAGCTGGGTGTGGCCCCCAAACAAAAACTACATATCATACAAGCAAAAGTCAAAGTGGAAACTGAAAAACTATTGTACTATCCCAGACCACATTGCACCACACCACAGTACTTTATAAGGACTTTAATAAAAGTAGTAGTTTTTAAATAATAGTTAATACTTCTGAATTGCAGGGGTTACTCAAACCTGGATGGTCCAAAGGACACAGGAATGGAAATCGACACTTTGTCCTCATTTGTCAGCCATGCCAAAAGAAACTTGAGAATCTTTGGGTTCCCAGTGGACCACCACAAACAGAATTGAATAGGAACCCCTATTAAACAACCATGCAGTATCTGGTAACTTTGCTCATGAGAATTAGCATGGCCTATTATGGTCATATTTGGGATTTATTTTTTTAAAATGGCTTGTTACTTTCTTATAAACATGAGAAGAAGGCAAAGCCAACATTTGACTGGTATGAGTGACAACATAAAATGACATTTGCATCCTGCCCTCACAATATAGAATGAAGACCTGGGCTGTGTGTACCTTGTGCATAATAGTACCTTGGTCCTCTGCACCACTGAAGTGTTTTGTCAGATTGGAAATACAAAACAGCAAGTACATTGGTGAAACTGGTAAGACATAGGCAGTATTAAGAGCAAATGTGAAGTGGAACCATCTACAGAAATTCACTCTACTTGGTATCAGGTGTACTTGCTGGAATCTGAAATTGTGGGAAGTGGTATCATATTCACTTGAAATTAAAGGGCAAATTACTGCATCTTGCAGTTCTGGTATAAGGCATCAAATAGCCTACCAAGCCTCTTCAATACCGGACACAGCATCTTATGTAATTGAGAGTGCAGCTTTCAGCCAAACACCAAGCGATCCAGAAGACTCCTGGACTCATTCCCAGAGGTACCACAGAAGGAGAGCCTGGAGCATTCAGTAGGCTGTGAAGGCAGCATACCAAGTGGGACCGCACTTCCTGAGGCGCCCTGTGGCTTTACAGGAATACAGTACACAGCAAGCTTAATCATGCAATATCATAGACTCTAGAGATGAAGATGACGGTGGCCTGCTAAGCATGATTATTGAGGATCAAGTCACCTTGTAGCCAGGATGTTTATCACAATACAGCTTCTAACACCCATTAGGCAAATCAAATCATATTGTCAGGTGATCCCCATGGCACTCTATATCTAGATGGATTGGTACATAAAGGCCAACGCACAAAGAAAGAAACTGGGCACAAACGTCCTGTTATCTTCTACTGGAGCATGGATGCTGCTTAATTCAACCAACATCATGGGTGGTTTTATAGCAAGATAAATGAATAATTTCCAATGAAATTAGGTGTCCAGCGATTTTTACCAATTTGTCTTAGAGGTACAGACAGCCCACATACTAGTGTTAACTACCCAGAATGAGACAGACTCAGTTTTAGGCTCTCAAGGAGTAAAAAAAAAATTATACAGCCTGGTCCATGGTCTCATGTGAATCAAAGCAGAAATAATTCTAAGCTCATTAGTTTGTCCTGGCTCAAGGTCCAGGTATACTAAGAAAATCTAATCAGCCAGAATGTTTCAAAGACTCATGAATTATCTCCTAGAGCTGGAAAAATGGATTTTTTTTAAAAACAAATTTGTACTGTGAAGTGTGGGAAATCATCCTCCAAATAAAAACCCAACCCCCAATTTGGGATACTCCCCTGGGAAAAACAGTGTAAGTCTCAGAATATAAACAGGCAGCAGAAACACACCCAGGAAATAATAGAAGAAAAACAGTTTAGGGTCTTCTAGATTTAGTGGGCAACAGAGGCGAAAACAAAATAGGAAATTGTAATGACTTTATACATTATGGGTGCTACTGATTGACTTCGTGTAACATCACAGTGTCTGCTCCTCCTGTGCCATTGAATTTTGATGTGATTACTAACTGTTCTTAATGTCTCTGTCAACTCAAACAACAATGTACGTGTTGGAAACAAAGGTTGGGGAGCAATATTGCATTGAATGATGACCAGTCTCTGTGCTCACTTATGGCTCCTGAGGAGACCCGAAAGCTTGGGCAGTGCATGTATATTTGTTTGTCTCCTCATGTGTTTGTTTGTCTCATTCTCTGCCATTGATCCCAGGATGGAGGTCAAAGGTACCAATCTGATTGACATTAGACAGAGAAAAGTTGAACACCCCATATCATTAGGTTAAGTTTCTCCTATATGTCAAGAGAGTATAACATTTATGTCTTCAGGTTTGACTAAAGCTGTATTAGGTCTACAACATGCTACAATTTCCATTTGGGTTCCATCATGATACTGAAAAATAGATTTTAGTAGATAGAACTGACTGAATATAGAATTGTTCAAGTTTTGGGTGAGTGAAAATTGACTTAAAAATTCAGTTTTTGCATCAAATGGCTGGGCAGATGGGAGAAAAATTTACAGAGGTATTTGAGAGAGCAAGCAAGAAAAGTTAAAGGCACATCTGGTGTAAACAAAAGTATATGACTTTCTGGTGGGGGGAGGTGGTGCTTCTAACTCCTCCTAATATCTATTTTGCTGCCTGTACTTCCTCCATGCTCTATTTTAGAGTCACAACTCCAAGAACATGTTATGATTCTGTCATGATCATATCAGAAGATGTATCAAAACTAATTTAGATAGTAATTAATTTAGAAAGTAAAAAAAATAAGTTTACATTTACAGTTAGTAAAGTGAAGAATGCCAAAGGAATAAGCTCATCCATAAATCATAAAAAAGTTATGAAATGGACTAGAAAAATACAAAATGAGATATGGGATGCATCATTGGTGAGAATTCAATTTTAATATGTCACTAAGGGATTTTTGTCTTTTGCAATTCTGTTCTTGGAGCAGAGGCAAAGCAGAAAACTTTGTTCCTTACAAGAACGTCAAAGGCAATGAGACTGTGTCTCAGAGAAGACATTGGTAACATTATCTATGTGACACATCAATGTGTGCCTTGGGGTCTGCATAATGGACTCCTCAGCTCTACGATGCTCCCAGCAGCAATTACATGGGAAGTAATGCCTCGCTCGATTTGAGGGCACTAAGTGGAGCATCAAATATTATTAGATTATTTGGTTAAGTCACATAGAACTGTTACAATAATGAACTCTTCTTCCTTCATTTTCTCTATAGTTACTACAGAGATGGGCTTCTTCCTTTGAGAGTATCCTCTCACTATATAAAATCTATATGGCAATACTAAGGAATTGGAGAAATTAATGGTTCCTGGTGTATACTCATCTAATTAGCATACTTCTAATTGTGGTGTGTCTCCAGTTGAGAACATAGCTTATGATACTAGACATATATAACACACACACATTCTCACAATACATCCAGCAGAACCACTTGAATGTATAAAATGACCTCAAAATGACCCACTTACAAGGTTGTTTCATTCCATTGTCTGAATTGAAAGTTATTGCCAAATACAGTGGAAGCAATTTTTCCAGCATAGCAGGATATTTGCTGGCACCACTATAAATTGGTCCTTAATTTCCAAACATCTGAAAAAAAATCCCTTTGTGGTCATAAATCTCCCCAACAAAACTTTATCAGTGTATTTTGTCTTTGATGTTTTGGCACTTGGCCCCAGATCTGTTTCTCTTTGAAGGGGATGAAGTTTGACCAGAGACCTCGTTTCAAAGTTATCGGATCAATACTAACAGTCCACAAAGCATAGAGTTTTGGGGATAAATTAGGTTGTGCAATGTGAAAACTTACTGACAATTGATCTTCAGTCTGCGTTTTAAACTTTAGTTACTGTTTCTTATTCTGATGTCAATGAATAATATCCCTTATAAGAAAATAAACATTCTCCTCAATAGTTAGTACTTAACAATATAAATAATATCATTAAATAACAAAATAGGTGTAATGCATACAATATAGATATACACTAATCAAATACATATGGTCCTACAGGATGATTTTCTAAATTAATCTGTTTAACTGCCCCTTAAAGAATATTTTTCTTAGATTATGTTCATGCTCAATTCTATAACCATGTTTCTTAGAGCCAAACTCTTTTTCAGAAACACAGACTATATATCATTGTCTAGGGTGCAGAAGAAAATACACTTTTTCCTAAAATAGCCTGATGTGACAGATTAAACAAATTGGCTCATCGAAATGTGGGCGAATATTTTATTGTCTGGGCTTCTTCTGTTAATTATAAATTCAATTGCTAAATACATTGTCCCTACTGGTATTTTTAACCTCCTATACTCATCCATGGCTGTTTACCAGTTAGCTTAAAGTCAAATCAGGCAGAGAAGTGCTTCATTATGGATTTAAAAGATCACTGAAACAGTTCTTTTTATTAAATACGTTTTCTTGTATCTTACTGACGTCACCAGTCAATTTTGGACTAAATAGCTATCATAAAAGTCTTTATTCAGAGGTAGGGTGGGGATTAGACCATACCCTGCAGGACTTGGGGGCTATTTCTAGCTCTGTGCTCAGAATTGAATCCCTCCAGTGTTTGCAAATCATACGTGTGCTGGGGATTCGAACTAGGCTCAGCAGAATTCAAGGCAAGTGCCTTGACCCATGTGTGATAGCTCTGACTCCAAAATACTTTTGTTTAATTTGAAAAGATTTACAAGGCGTTGTGGCCATACCATGATTGCCTTCAGAGTTCTTATTAAATAATTTTATACTCACATCTGTACCTGATCCTGGTAATAGTCTGGATTTTGTATTTCTTCACAATCCAATACTAAATTTCATCTCACTAACTAAAGAAAAAAGCACATATTTTTGGTTTGTTGTTTTTTTGGGCCACATCTGGAATCACTCCTGAACTCAGATGACCTTATGGAAAGTCAGGGCTTGAACCCAGGCTAGCCATGTGCAAGGCAAACACCTTACCCATTGTACTATCTTTTCAGAGCCCAGAGAAAAACATTTTGAAAAGCACATGACTTGGCTCTTCTTATTTTGGTAATTTCTCAATCTTTCTCTCAATCTCTCTCTCCCTCCCTTTCTCTCTCTCTCTCTCTCTCTCTCTCTTCCTCTGTCTGTCTCTCTGTTTCTCTCTTTGTTTTAAACCAGCAGGAAAATTGTTAAATCCTATGGACTCTGGGTTTGTGAACTGCCAGAAGAAATTATATTATATATTATGTTATTTATTATATATTATATATCTAAGTCTACATTACACAGGGGAAAAAGGTTCCAGGTTGTGTTTCTGAGAACAAAGACATCAGCCATACAGAATATGTGGTGCCACAGACAGACAGCGAAGCCCTAGGATGGTGATTTACTACATGGCATTTATTACAAGATAATGAAACCTCTAAGTCTCATTACCGCAGAGAATATCAGAGAGAGTCCTGAATGAAAAACAGAAAATCCCTTCAAAATAATTTACACACACAAGTCAGGGAAGACACACAGCAAGAAAAAGAATTGTTAGTCAGGCTGTGTAAAGTTCTCTGGGTATGAAATCAGAACTCAAACTCTGAGGGAGGAGAGAAACATTTAATGAAGCCAATTAAATGTTACAAAAGAAGCCTGAATATAGGAAAATAGCCCCAATTGTTAAATAATTCAAAATTGTCTTCATAATGATACTCAATGAATTAAATGGGAGTACAGTAGTCAACTAAACTAGGACCCCTGCTTGCTGCTCCACCATCCCAGGTGAGGCTTGCTTCCTGCTGACGTCACTGGGACTATTTGCAAAGGGAGGCAGAGCTCTTCCCTCCCAGATGGGTCCAAGCAGCCTCCACACCAGACCTGGGCATATTAAGGGCACACACCATAATCCCCGAATTGCATAGTAATTTACTAGACCCCCCTATAGCTTTACTCAACAAATTACATACTACTCAGTTTATTCTCCCTGTCATTCTGCGAGGATGGGCAGAGAAGATAGAGAGAAACCTCCAGCTTAATCCCTCAGCATCTTCCAGGGGACTTAAGACTCACCACCAGCACAAGAACACTAGAAACCCAATGGGAGAAATATGTAGAAACTCACCAAGCTTAATGAACAAAAACAGTACCACTGAAGACATAAACAGCACCAGTACAACCTCAGATGGTGTGCTTAGTGACATTATGATGGGGATGTTCAATGAGTTAAAAAAAAAGTGGCCCAGATAGTCAGCAAAGCAGGAGGAAATATGAGAGTCAAAATGAAAATGCTTTTAGAGTCAGAAATGAAGGAATTAAGAGTATGGTAGGTGATACAGACCAAAAAAAAAAAGTGAATAGAAGCTCTGACCCGCAGAATAACAGAAGCTGAGCAAAAGTTTAAGGAGATTCAGTATTTGAAGGAGGAAATCACTAGGAAATAGCAGGAAGTGGAAAATAGTCCAAAAAGAAATGAACAGCATACTGGAGAACTGTGGGACGAATTCAAGAGGAACAACATAAAAATCATCAGAATCCCTGAAGAATAGGAGGCAAATGTGATGAAGAAACAGTAGTTAGAGAAACCATTGATAAGAACTTCCCAAAGTTGAGTATTACAGGCACCAAGATCCAAGAGGCCCAAAGGGTCTCAGTGAAAATAGACCCAATTAGAAAAACTCCAAGACACATTATACACAAAATGACAAAATCCACAGATAGATGTGTAGTACTGAAAACAGAAAGATAAAAAAGGATAATTGTCTCTTCTAAGGCTGTCTTCAAATACAATTCCACTCCATTGTTAATACTTCACTCAGACCAGAATCAATATTCTATGTGAACATTTCTTTTCCTTCCCTTAGTGATCTCATCTAGAAAAACAATCCAAAGGCACAAAGAGTACTTGGTTACTCAGAAAAAAAAACACTTTCAAAATTCTTCAGTGAGCCCAGGGACACATACTGCATGTAAAAATGCATGGAGTAATTCAAACAGCTTAATCGATGGTTGGATAAATATCAGTTCTCCTACATTATAAAAAAATGCATGAAGTAGGTTAATGACAATCAGATTCCTACTACAACTGCATGCAGAAGATCCTAGTATCAGTGAACAATGTAACAGTCTTGTTAAATTTAAGTGTGGTTAGGTTGTAGATAAGAGACAGCCTTCTGCAAAGTTAGAAAATAATTCCAAATTAAAACACAAGCTTTGAGTCAATTATCAATATATGGTTTTCTATAACCTAGAGTCCTGGGAACAAAATAACAGAAATGCAAGTGACCCCATTTACTAAATGCCAGGCATCTGACTTGAAAATTTAGTTTTTTCTGATCATCAAGGGTAAGAGAATGGAGACCTGATATCTAGAATGAACATGATCATTTCCACTATATGAAAACATCATCATGTATTAAAATACAATCATGTCAGATTCCTGGTCTAAGTGCCCAGCAGACTAGGAAAGAAGATTCTAACTTGACTGAATTAATAAACCTCAACCATTGCAACAGAACGTTGGATGCAAAATGGTATTTCTGTCACTGTCACTGTCCTCCTGTTGTTCATCGATTTGCTCGAGTGGGCCCAGTAAACGTCTCCATTGTGAGACTTGTTGTTACTGTGTTTGGCATATTGAATACTCTCAGTAGCTTGCCAGGCTTTGCCATGCAGGCGGGATACTCTCGGTAGCTTGCCGGGCTCTCTGAGAGGGGCAGAGGAATCAAACCTGGCTCGGCCGGGATGGCTGCACGCAAGGCAAACACCCTACCACTGTGCTATCACTCCAGCCCCGTAGAATGATATTTCTACTGTCCCTAAATATCTTTCTCTGCCAGACTCATTCCACTACGATATCTCTCAGAATGCCAGTCACTGAGGTAAAGCGATATACTAACTATCCATGGCCTAAAATTGCTTACTGTGTGGGATCTCTGACCACTTATAAAAGTTATCACTCCTCCTTGTGTGATCATCAAAATGACTGTGAGGAGTACTTGGAACATGTTATAGCAGAGGGGAAGATAAACAATTCTCACAAACCTGAGAGTAGTTGCAGTGGTGGAATCTCTAGTTCATCTACTAAGTTCTCCTCATAATTTTTCATTGAAGGAACTATTTCATTTTGATTGAATTTCTCATACAAAATAGTTACATCTGTGTATTTTTTAATTAATTTATTAGTTTAAAGTTTGAGAATAGGTTGAGATCGTTTCGGCCCCAAGACCTCTAATCATTCGCTTTACCAGATAAAACTGCGTGGGTGGTTGTGCGAGAGCACCAGCTATCCTGAGGGAAACTTCGGAGGGAACCAGCTACTAGATGGTTCCATTAGTCTTTTGCCCCTACACCCAGGTCGGACGACCGATTTGTACGTCAGGACCACTACCGACCTCCACCAGAGTTTCCTCTGGCTTTGCCCTGCCCAGGCATAGTTCACCATCTTTCAGGTCCGGAGAGATAGCACAGCAGCAGGGCGTTTGCCTTGCATGCAGCCAATATGGCCAACCCGAGTTCAATTCCTTCGCCCCTCTCGGAGAGCCCGGCAAGCTACCGAGAGTATCTCGCCCGCACGGCAGAGCCTGGCAAGCTACCCGTGGTGTATTCGATAGACCAAACACAGTAACAAGTCTCACGATGGAGATATTACTGGGCCCGCTCGAGCAAATTGATGAACAACGGGAGGACCGTGACCGTTATTAATTTATTGAATCACTGTGGGAAAAGTTACAAAGCTTTCAGGTTTAAGTCTCGACATCTGTGTATCTTAAGTGGTAAAATATATAGAAGTTAAGAGTGTAACATGGGCTGGAGCGATAGCACAGCGGGTAGGGCGTCTGCCTTGCACGCAGCCAACATGGCCGACCCGAGTTCGATTCCTCCGCCCCTCTCGGAGAGCCCGGCAAGCTACCGAGAGTATTCGATATGCCAGACACAGTAACAACAAAGTCTCCAATGGAGACGTTACTGGGCCCGCTCGAGCAAATCGACGATCAACGGGAGGGCCTTTACTTACTTTTACTTAAGAGTGTAACATAAGTCAGATATGTCCAATTTCTGGGAGTTTTGACAGATAATGCAAAAAAGAAGAGGAAGAACATCTATTCTTCAGGATTCCCCTGGTAAAAGGGAAAAACTACTTTCAATTTCCTATGTCTCAATTCAGAACATTTCTGAAGGTCTCTTTATCCCCACATATCCTCGTAGATTTCCTGGAGATCTGTTACAACTATCTTGTTTAAATGTTTAACTCTTTCCAATCATGCTTCCTCACATACTAATAGACTGTAATTCAAAGCATCCCCTAATATGAAAATTTATGACTTATAGATGCTTATACCAAACACTAGATATAAAAAATTATTAATTTATTAATTTATCCTCGTAGAAGAATTTCAAATGTCTAAGATCCCCAAGAAGGTATTAAGTTCAACTATTCACTAGGAATCATTGGTCTGGGTCATTAACCTTCTTTAAAAGAAACTGGAGAAATAATTACACCCCCGTCCTATCCCCATCCACCTGGAATTTTCTTTATGCTGCTCAGATATGCATGGCTTGGCATAGCTGTGCCCTTTTAAAGTGGGAAGCACAAGGGCCAGGGGTATCCTTAATTAGTTGAGTTAGAGTCAATGGCTCCTCTAACCCTCACATACATTGTGTTGTGTCCTTTATCTTTATTCTATTTTGTTCTGTTCTGTTTTTGAGCTACACCCAATAGTATTCAACCATTAATCACAACTTGGT